AAGGCATCTGTTTCATATTATACAGTACTGAGATAAATACATAAACGAAATGATCAAAATTTTGATGCTCTATACGGCGTACAAGTCAGAATGATGATTCATTTATATTATCATTGAAGGACAGGCCAATGATACGCTTTTCATAGTGTTCAAATTAACAACAAATTATTTAAAATTAATGTTCATAAACAATTACAAAGACAATTCTTCTTGCCCGCAGGAATTTTTAAATAGTAGCGAACATGTGTGAAACAAGTCTGTCAACTAAATCATGCTGCTGGCAGCCTTATCAAGACAAGGGTAGAGCAGTCGAGCGTGAACTTACATCGCGTTCGCCTCGCGTCTTCTCGTCTCACCTCATGAGTGGTCGGATTCGAACTGATTGTTTTTTCATCACAAGCCGCGAGAGCGAGCAGCAAATTAAAGGACACCCATGTCACAAAAGTGCAATAACTTCAACACTCGACTCAGGCCGAACCAAACCGAGGCGAGGCAAGCGGGTAGCACTCGTCTCGGTAAACGTCTCGCCGAGATATTTGGCCAGAGTATACTACTGGCTTTATAGCTTTCTATTGCACACCCATGCTTTCAGATATCGATTCAAACACATCGAGCCCTCTGCATCCAACGCTGCTAAAAACTCGGAGAAACAGATGACAAGTATTGAAAGAGTACACTTTTCCATACAAGCACAACAGCGAGCTATAAAGTCAGTATCACAATCTAATTTTTCAATTCTTTTTGTTCTCTCTGTATTCTCTCGACAATTTTTCTGATACATAAAAAACGAATTTAATAGGTATGTCCAGGAAATAGAAAATACACATACTACGTATCTTTTCTTATGCATTGGTATAGTGATTTGCGGCTTTAGTGTTACATTAGTACAGGTAAGAACACCCGGCAATTCCGTATGTTTCCACGTTTCACGTAAACTCTTCGAAAATTAGTTGACCACTATGGAGGTTAACATGGACTTTTACAAAGTCCTCAGCTTTTTGATCGCGCAGTTAATGCATCTATTTTACCTAACGATCCAAGGCCAGTTCGTGGAAAATGTTTGTGATACACTTTACAGAAACATGTGAGTACCACGTAAACTCGAATTAACGAGCAAATACAGTCAATACTTGTATACATCGTTCTCAATGAAGTCTCTTTATGTGACAATTTGATGTCAAACATGTCCGATGTAACAGCAACGATATTTTCAGATACGAAGGATTGTGGTATAACACAAACGCGAAAACACAATTACTATACGTTTTAGCGTTACGGAGGATGTTAATACCACCTCGTTTGACAGCCGGCGGACTCATAAATATGAATATGGAAAGCTTTTCAGAAGTAAAATGTGATACTACCTGTACAAAATGGATTGTGTTTTCGTAATATATTTATTTAATAGAGATTACTGTTTATAGGTGATAAAGGCA